TATATAAAAATGTGTATAGATCCCTCCCCCAAAAAAACTATTTATATGATTTTTGGATCAAATCATAGTTAGTAACCCTAGTTTAGTGTAGACAATTCTGCCGACCGAAGATGATTCGTACTTACGTTTTGAATATATTCATCTTCTTGACAATGATATTGGAGCTTGTATCCACAATACATCATTATTATTTGGGCCATTAATTTATTAGACTTGGATATTTTAATTACACGATATGAAATTAGTAGTGGATTTGAAATCATAAGTCTCTCTCCATATTCAAATTATTTTCTTTAGTTGCACAATTATTTTAGTTTTAATTTAAATTCTCATTAGTGAAAATCAAATCATCCTCTCTTCTTTAAATTAAATTAGAAATTACTACTCGAATAAATATAACTCAGCCCAAATTTCGTGGTACGATATCTAGACAATCCACTATTCTACTGAATTAGTACTATGTTTAATTCTTTATTTTTGATTGAAAAACGACCGGTCAATAAGATTGTGATATTCTTTTTAACAATGTTGGCGACTGTAAAACAAAAACATGTAAAATTTTGCGCAGGGCATTTTTTGATTAAAACCCTTGTGCCCATACATGTTATGCATATTTAAAACTCACCATCCGCAACATCACCAAAGCCAGAAAATGCCTCCCTGAGAGACTGGTCATCAGGTCCAAAAGAAAGGCCGAGTACATAGATGGATCAATATTGTTTCAATAGTAGAACCTACAAATAACTTGTACTGTATTTAATACATTAAATAATAATACTCAAGCTCATACCGCCAATGAAAAGTTTTCAAGATGACATGCAATGAATGGCATTAAGCATAGATGCCATTGAAACTTGCCCATTCGATATGCTATTCTGTGAAATGGTCTGCTCATGAGACTTCCAAATCTATTGGAGAAAGCCATTTTTAACAGTCAACTATTCTCGGGTACTCAATAATCTGCCACTATTCCTAGAAAAAAGTAGAAGACTTAATTTATTTTCTATTTAGTACTGCAGCTTATATTTTAGTCTTTTTTTATTATTGTAAACTTTATTATATATTTAAGTAAATTTTAGTAACCTTTTTGTGAGCATTATTAAATGTAAAAATTTAAAACAAAATTCGATACATTATGTTTTGATCAATCTTTTTTTAAATAAATATGAAAGGTTTCATATTTAGGATTCACTTTGCGTCCAAGAAAAGTTAGAATCGACCTTGGAGTAATGTAATGGTGATAAAAAGAGAGCGGTGACGGTATAATGATGGTCGTGATAGTTATGGCAATGGTGACAATAGTTGTAGAGGTGAAGGATTGTACAAATTATTGTAGTGGTGATGGTAGTAGTGAAATAATAACGATAGTTATGGTAGTAATGACAATGGCGATGAAAGTAGTAGTGGTGGAAGAGTGATGAATGATGGTGGTGGTGATAGTGGTGGTAGAGGTGGCGATGATGGTGGAGTTTGTGAGGTTATATGGTGTATATTGATAATATAAGTATTTATAAATTAAGTCAGAATTAAATAAATTTTTTATCACTTAAAATTTTTTTAATTTTTAACTTATATTTTAGGAGTTACATTTAAGTGATACCATTTGTAATTATCAAATAGATTTAATTAATTTTCACTTAATTCATTCAATTTTAAGTGTTAAATTAGGTTATGAAACTCGACGCTAGTCCCCACACACACACACACACACACACACACATCCAAAAAAAAAAAAAAAAAAAAACCAAAGAGACACCACTTAGGATGATTAGTTCCATAAATATAATTATCTTCGTACGCATATCAAAAGCTCCGCTGTAGCTCAACTATCAACTCGGTTTATGAGAATGTTCCAGGTTCGAATCCTGGCAGCGGAAAATATTTTTTGTTTTGTTGACTGTTGCTGTATAATCTCTAAAATTTAACTATTGCATCAATTTGATATTTATAGTTTAGTTGAACCAATTTTATTTTTTATTTTTTCCAAAAGTTAGAAGTCGAGCACACATTATGCTGTGCAAGTTGAAAAAAATGTAAATTTCTCTACATTTACTTATATTTTGTTTAGTTTAAATTATTTTTTTATATTCTAATAAATTATATGGCTAACAAAATAACTAAAATATCCCTAATAATAATAGAGTGAAGCGCTAATTAATGTTCACATTTGTAATTGTGAATGTTTTATGATGTAAACATTTACACAGTTAAATTTATTTATTTATTTTTATTTTATAAAATTAGATATTCAAGTAAGATCTTATTTGATAAATCTCATTAACTAGGTTTTAAAAATATAAATAGCATTAAAAAAATATGTGCTATAAAAATTATAAATTTTTAAAGTTTAATATATAAAAAGTATAAAATAGTCCAAAATAGTGCATATCAAGTTGCTAAGTGTTCTTTTATCGTCAAATTGTTTACTTAATTCCTAAAGGGCAAATTACATACACCTCCCTCGAGGTTTAGCTAAATTATATATACCCCCTAAGGTTTCGAAAATTATAGATATCCCCTGAGGTTTGTATTTTCATAACAAATTACCCCATGAGGTTTATATTTTCATAGCAATTTGCTCCCTAATTTGTTATGCAAATAGTGCCTTCAGAGGAGTATCTGTAATTTCTCAAACCTCAGGAGAATATCTGTAATTTTGCTAAACCTCGAGGGGGATATATGTAATTTGCCCATTCCTAAACTATTTATTGAATCTATTAAGTCCTTAAATTATATAAATCAAAATCTATTTACACGCTAAACTATCAATTGAATTTATTAAATCTCTGAAGTATTTAAATCAAACATATTTAGTCCTTAAAAAGTTTACAAAAATAAAATATAAATCCGTAAATATCATAAATTTATAAAAAAACCTTATCCGGTTAAAATTTTATTTTAAAAAAAAAAAAACCTTTACTTTTTATTCTATAATTGAAAAGTGAGCTTAATTCTTAATGTGAATTTCCATTATAAAGATAAAGATAAATATCTATTATTTTTTTACTTATGTTTTACAATGGTTACATGTTTACTTTTATCTAATATTATAAATCAAATTTCATTTATAATTTATAATTGATTATTTTAAATTTTTTGCTAAATTTTTTTATGATAAATTACAAATACATCCCCTGATATTTGATTAAAATACAAATCGCCCCTTGTGATTCTGAAAATTACATTCCACCCCTTGTGATTTCTAATTTTATAACAAATCGTCCCTTTTATTAATAAATCATCAAGTCAATTAACAGTTTTTTAATAATGTTATAAATATGTTTCAATTAATAATTTAAGTAATTTTATTATTCTATAAGAGAGCAATTATAAATTTCTTTTTTTTAGTTAATTCTGTTAAATAAAAATTTTTAACAAAAGAGTATTTGTAATTTTTTAAACTACAAGAGACAATTTGTACTTTAAACAAACTCAAAATGTGTGTTTGTAATTTACCCTTTTTTTATCAGTTAATTAATATATAATTTTATTTTTTTATTATTTGCAACAAAGTGTCATTATTTGAATTATCTAATTCATTTTATTGACAAAACTAATAAATTAGACACGTATACTTATTCAAACGCACAATGAAATAAAACACCTTTCAAAGACGAATAAAATTTTAAAATTTTATGTAATAAGTTTTAAGTAAGATATTTTACCAATTTATAATACTTATGACCACATATATTTATTTATTTTAATTCTTTCAGCGACTCAAATAAGTTTAAATTAAATATCTTAAGAACTTAATAAATTTAATCGATATTTTAAATAGATTTTGAATTATATACTTTAAGAACTAGATAGACTCAATCAATAGTTCAAAAACAAAATAGATAATAGGATGACAATTTAAAGATAGAAGGTGTAATAAACCCTTGTTTTAAATGTACAATCTATATATATAACCTTACAAAAATAAACAATGGTGGGGCCTATTGTGTATGCCACAAGCCATACAAGGCCTCTTCAATCCATACCCAAACAGAAGAGAATATCCACCCCATAGTATATCCACCCCATAGTTCTAAATATCGGCCGATACGCTACGTATCGGCCGATACGTATCGAAAAAATGGAGTGCCGCGACGGATACAGGCCGATATACCACTGAGATTAAAAATCGCAGGAGTATCGGCCGAGTCCCGCTACGTATCAGCCTGTAAGCGTTACACAAGCCGTTACACAAGCCGTGACGGGCCGATACTCACCGGTTCGGACCGGTACGGGAAAGAAAAAGTTAAAAAAACCTTTGAAATGATTTTTAAAATTTCACCACCGCGACACCCGATTCCTGATACGTACCGATCGATACTACCGATACCGATACTCCGCGATCGATACCGTTACGTTACCCGATACCGCGATTTAGAACCTTGATCCACCCTGTGCCCATGTCCAAGTCAATTTAATCAACCTTTAAAGAGCCCACAAATTTGCAACACAATTATACAACACATTAAGAACTTGGGCAAATTTATGGGCTTGGATTGGGCTTGCAAGCCCACCAAAAAAATTGGGGGAAAATATAAAAATCAACTAGTCCACTGTTTCACTGTCTTTCAGATACAACCAACGCAAATATCAAACAATCAAGACTTAACCAATATAAAATGGATGGTAAACCATGTTCTTACTAGCTAATTTTTTAAACAACTCTTATATAGACAATAAATTATATTTTAAATTGAAAAATTTTAAAAAACAAACAAAAAACAAAAAAACATAAACTAGTCATATTTGACTCAATTATAGCTTGATTGATGTCGACCTTGGCTGAATCTATTCAAAATGATCCCAGAAAATACCAGATGATAATCACCAGTACGACCTTACTTGAACAGGATCTGTTCTATTGGATCGGGCCTTTGAATCCTTGAGTTCTAAAGATGATAATCACCAGTATTAAATCCTCTTTCTAAAGACAGTGCCAGCCATTTAAACAGGGAACTAACCAGACAACCGGACCAAGAAAACACTACTACCGGCACAGCTTTAACCCAATCTACATTTCAATGCTTACGGAGAAAGTGTTGCAAACAAAGTACAACACAAACTAAAGATGAAGGCAATAAACAGGCTAATTTGAATTAAAAGCATACATAACAAAATTAGGTTCTGGAAAAACCATTTAAAAACATAATAAGGCATCTCATGATATCCTCCTAGATAAGTGAACTTAACATAGGCCATGCTCTCAACAGTAGAACTATCCACATGTGGCCTAGAAACCATCATTCTCTCTGGCATCACCATACCCGCCACGGGAACCGTAACCACCACCACCACCACCACCGTAACCACCACTGTAACCACCACCACCACCGTAGTTACTTCTAGGAGCAGATGGTCTATCATTAGCATAGCTCACACGGATGTTCCGCCCATTCAGTGGCTGAAAAGGAAGTAAACAGGAGTTCTTAGAGACAACAAAAAAAAATGAACAGTGAAATACATGTGCAATACATTTCCTACATTTATTTAATACTAACCTGTCCATCCATTGCTGACATCGCAGAGCCGGCAGATTCATCACTCGAGAAGTTCACAAACCCAAATCCTCTAGACTTCCCAGTATCTCTATCAGTAATTACCTTTGCTGTGCACCAAAACCACAGACAGTTTCAGCATCCAAACACTACCATGGTCCCATAGCAGCCTTCTTTTTTTATTTTATGAACTTTCTTATTTTGGAATTTTGAAGAGATATATTACCTCTTACTAGTTAGTTCGTGTCGAAACACACACGGGGTTTACCACCAGTTTATACACAAACCACATATAACCCACAATTTGAATTATTATTATTTTTTAAAATGGTGGAATTACCCAGACTCCCGTCACTAGTAACGCAACAAAATAGAACAACTTAAGAACCTTAAAATATGCAATACGCCAATGAAATGATTTATTCGCCCTTTCTTGAGAAGAAAGAAAGAACAACAAAGAAACATACGTCAAACCGGTTTCAACATCAGCAGAAAATCCATTGGATTTTCATCAGTAAAATATAGAATTGAGACCTTAGATATCTCAAGATCAAAAGAAATTAGCATGTTAATCCAGGTATCCTCTCTGTGCACTAGAAGGTTTAGATTCCCAACTTTATGCAGAAAGAGTCAAAGAAGAAAAAGAGTCGTCAACCCAAAAAACAAGAAGATAGAACCTACCAACCAGGCCTAAATTATATCCAAAAATTAGGCATGAAAACTCATGTCAATTGATTGAAATCAACTAACAAGAATACCAACTTACGGGGACCATCACCAAAACATTTGATCCACAATACACAACAACTAGTTGCATAGCAGAAACTAATGGGTCGTTTCTATCTCACAAATGTATTCTGTTGTTCGTAATCACTTGGATAAACATTATCAGTAAATCAAATGTACCATCCATCTTGTGGAAAAAAAAATTAAGGATAACTCAATTAAACCCTTAATATAAGATAGTGATATTATTTTAACAATGTGTGCGACTGTAATAACAGAAACATGTATGCACAAGGCATTTTTTGGCTGACTAAGTAATTAAAAACCTTGTGCCACGTTATGCTTATCTGCACGAGCACTTAAAAACTTAGCATGCTTTTCATTCTGATATTAAATGCATTGACGGCAGATTTAAAACTCACCATCTACAACATCACCAAAGCCAGAAAATGCCTCCCTGAGAGACTGGTCATCAGTTCCAAAAGAAAGGCCTAGTACATAGATCAACGTGGTTTCAATAGTGGAACCTACAAATAAATTGTACTATATTTAATACATCAAATTATAATACTCAAGCTCATACCTCCAATGAAAAGTTTCGAAGATGACATGCAACGAATGGCATTAAGCATAGATGCCATTGAAACTTGCCCATTCGATATGCTACTCTGTGAAATGGTCTGCCTCATGAGACTTCCAAATCTATTGGGGAAAGCCATTTTTAACAGTCAACTATTCTGGCGTACTCCAACAACCTGCATTTCATATGATACAAGAAAAAATAGTTCTCCATGTCAATTTAAACTCATCTAGAATCAAAACATATATCATAGAAAACGGAGAATAATTACTTATTTATTTATTTATGCAGAGCTGGAATAATATTCCTTGCATACATTTAAACCAAGTCAGAGCAACTTTTGCCAATAAAATATATATATATATATATACCAATTGCTTGAATTTTTTTGTAGTTTAAATTACCCAAATTACTTGAAGAGTAGAACAAACATCTATTATCTATATCATAAAAAACTAGTTAAATTTGGCACAGATCACAATGCAATTACAAACTCTATACTTAAATTTGACCAAAGCTATGTATTAACAAAAAACATGGTTTCAGAATCACCAATGCATCCCTAGGCATTCCCATAGCAAGGGACTAGTCACAATAACATCCAAATTTATTTGTCCATTAAGAATCACCAATCCGAAGTTCATACCTCAAGTAGGTGTATGGGACCTCAAACAGTTTAACCCAACAAACAGACAAACAAACCATGAAGAAACACTTCTCTTATGCACATTAAGATCTGCTGATCAAATGAAGCACAACCCTTCAACTTACCAAGCAAAACTAATTATGAGAAGTTGACAGAAATGCTTGGGGCTCAAGGTCGGCAAGTTTACCCCTCCCAGAAATAATAACCTGATATTCTCTTACCTTGAACTAACAAACTCAACGCTAAACCAAGAGAAGAACGTGGTCTCAAGAATCTAAAACACCCCCAAGCAGCCTTAGCTTGGCAGCACTTGGAACCTCGCAGTGAGACACGTTGGTTTGCTTGACAAAAAGGGAGTTTAAACCCTACGCTCCTAGATCCGATCCGGTGCCTGGACACCTACATATATGTATAAATAGTAAGCTAAAGCCCAGTGAATAACATATGCGTAAAGAGGTTAGGAATGAATGTCCTTTTAGTATTTAAAACAGTCATTTGAACAGTATATCAGTTATTCGATTATAGTAGTCATAAGTGGTACATCCTATAGCAAACAGTACAGTAGGTCTTAACAGACCGAACAGTCAGTTGATGGCCATCATATCAGTAAACAGTAGTGGTTCCAAACATGAGAACCAACAGAGATCTCTGTGACAGTAGCAGTACAGTACAGTAACAGTAATTGCTATGGATGCCACGAATACAGTTCGCAAATAGGACAAGCATTCATTTAGTAAGAAATATCATTTTAGAAAGTAGTACAGTTGATCATTCAGAAAATATTCATGATTGAATATATCTTTACAACATTGTTACTCACAGAGTTCCGGGTTACAGATAGGCTAGTGAGCGTTCTCGGATGCCAACCATACACAGTTACAGAACGAACACACACTAAGTTACACACTTGGGAATCAATGACTTAGTCCTTAACTTGACTCGGTGTGATTCTACACCAATATCCTCATTAAGATGCCTTAAACAAGGTCTAGGAATGCCTAGGATGAAATGATGATGCAAAGATGTACTTTAAAACACTTTTCAGAATTTTCAAAAAACAGGGGTCTCGCTCGAGCGTGGCTTTCTACGCTCGAGCGGACATGCAGACAAAGGATCTCCACTCGAGCGTGACTTTCCTCGCTTGAGCGGACTGCAAAAGTACTGGATGCATGAAATTCACGCTCGATGGGCGCTCGACCCCCGCTCGAGCGTGAAACACAAGTCCTCGCTCGAACGTGCATTCCCTCGCTCGAACGGACTGTAAACACATGCAAAGTACTAGATATACGCATTTCACGCTCGAGTGTTACTTTCCCCGCTCGAGCAAACTGCATGAACTCAGAGTGTACGCTCAAGCGTGGAGTTCCCTGCTCGAGCGTGGATCCAAAATCTGGAATTTCCAGATTTGTCTCCAAACATGAAACTCGACTTTTAAAGCATCAAATTCGATCCTTTTGGGCTAATTTTCGGGAAAACATTTTAAAACTCATAATATGACATGTTTCAAAGATCAATTTGCAAAATCAAGGCCCAAAAGTAGTTCAATTAAAACACAATTTCAACAAAACTTCATGAACATGATGAACATGCAACATACATGTGTTCAAATGAAATCAAAGCTTCCAATACATGATCAAATGAGTCAATTCACTCAAAAACATGATGGATTCATGAACTATAACCCAAATATGGACATGCATGTGAGGATTCTATGAAAACAACCTCAAAATTCAAGAATGTAAACATGCATGCATGATTCAAGCTCACTAATCCACATTTAAAGCCATAACTTGGCTCTAGACTTCAACATTCTTCTAAACCATGCAAGAATCAACTCAATTCATAAACAAGAAGGTAAAAGCTCTACCTTAAGTCTTCAAGTTCAAGAATAGAAGCTCAAATGTGCAATCTACACTTCAATTCCTCTAAATTTCCAAGCAATTCTCTAGATAAAACCAAACTTCTCCTCTCTCACTCTCTCCTACGGTTTTGGTCTCTCAAAGATGAGCAAATGACATGAAATCAAGCTCTAGACAAGGTTTAACAAAGTGGCCCATTAAGTGGCATTTTGGTAAATAAGCCCACTAATGCAAGTTAACATTATTTAATCCAATTTAATCATACCAAGTCAAATTTCAATTAACATACCATAAAATCACATTAATTCTAATTAACACAAAACACTAATCAATTTCAGATTCGGCCACCGATAAGGCCTTCAATTTACAGTTCAAAACTTAAAGTATGAACAGATAAATCAATGACAAACAGATAGAAATGCATTTGAATTAATACACTCAATCAATCAGTCAAAATTTTAATCAACCAGTCACTTAACATGCTTAGTCATAGATTAACACTAATCAATGGTGAGGGTTGTCACAGACACCCTGCATCTCAGTCGAGTGGAGGTTGAAGGGGATAATCAAGGAGCAATCAAGCTAAGTGTTTCAGAGGATGCCCCTCCTTGGGATTGTGCTGCTCTCGTTGCTGACATCAAGGCTCTAGCACACAAGCGTGGTCTCTCCTTCAGATGGCGTCCTCGCAGTGTTAATAGTGCAGCGAACTGGGTTGCACGAGCTAGACTAGGAGGTTATCTTCCTGTAAATTGGGTGGCAATAGAAATGCATTTAAATTAATACACTCAATCAATCAGTCAGAATTTTAATCAACCAGTCACTTAACATGCTTAGTCATAGATTAACACTAATCAATGGTGAGGGTTGTCACAGACACCCTGCATCTCAGTCGAGTGGAGGTTGAAGGGGATAATCAAGGAGCAATCAAGCTAAGTGTTTCAGAGGATGCCCCTCCTTGGGATTGTGCTGCTCTCGTTGCTGACATCAAGGCTCTAGCACACAAGCGTGGTCTCTCCTTCAGATGGCGTCCTCGCAGTGTTAATAGTGCAGCGAACTGGGTTGCACGAGCTAGACTAGGAGGTTATCTTCCTGTAAATTGGGTGGCATGCCCCCCTCCCTTGCTTGTTTCTAGTTTATCTATGAATGAATCTTAATTGGTTTCTTTGATAAAAAAAAAAAAAAAAGTGTACAGAGCTGGGCAGTATGAAATCAGCCTATACAGAAAATAGTAACAGATCAGTACAAATACGAAATTCCAAAGCATAAATCTACATTAATTATATTAAAGTACTTTCATATTTTAATAATTTGAGCATTAAAAAATAAGTGATCAGTAATTCATGTTTGGTTAGAAAAATATTCATCTTTTTTTCCCCCTCCATAATCTACAAGTTTTTATAAAAATCTCCCCTCTATGCTAAACCAGCAAAATCAAACTGTAACATGTTGCAAATTTCAATATTTCAATCAACAAAACTGCGAGTTCCATTCGGTACTAAATTTTTGTACAACTCTGATCGAATCAAACCGCTTACATCTCTATTACTAGATGAAAAAAAATTATACTAAGGAACAAATCTTATAAACCTTCCTTACTAATGTGCCATGTAATAATAAAATTTAAAAAATTGAAATAGGAGTCACATCAGTAATATTATAGATAGGTGCCACATAAATATGTAATATGTACATATAATATATATATATAATTTTAAAATTTGTATAGCATTATTTTTGAGATAATAATCCAATCCAAGCCTTTTTAAAATGAAACATATTTTGTAAATGAACAGCCTCCCCATAGTAATAGTTGCTATTCATATATGAATGTAATAAACAACACACTTGCATATTCCAGTAGGTGGGTAAAAGGATGTAAATGCATATATCCACAAAATAAGTAAAAATGGAATTAAACCTAACAAAAAGGCATTTTACAGTTGCACTTAAATATCAGCTATTATTTATACATCATCACTATTTTGAGTGCTGCCCTGTGGTACAACCCAAATCAAGTGCACTCCACTGTTTGCCACTAAATTGCATGATTTATTTTTTTTATTATTTTATTAAAGATCCTAATATATAAAATGTTTGAAAGCTTAAGTCATTTTCTTTTGAATTTTTAAAAAACAAAAATAAAAAATGAATTTTTTTGCCTTTATTGTGCATGGACAGATTGGAAGAAGAAGCCAACATGAAGTCTCATAATTTTCATTGTAAGCGGGTTAACAATTTCTAACATACAGGTCAATCAATCCGTCAATTTTTATCATTTAATTGATCCAAATCGACTTGTGCTCACCTTCTCAAAAGTCAGTTTCAATTGGTGTAATTTGGCAGCTGATTTTTTCGAATAAATAAAATGGGGTGGGGTTGAGGGCATCACCATTAGGTAAACATAATGGGACCAAAATAATTGAATAAATACAAAAATAAAGAATGTCAACAGATATTGCCCTGAATTTTCAATGCTCCACCATAATATATATATCTTCAATCTGCAAGCAAATGATTTTCCCTTTTACAGAATTGAAATTTTTTTTATCTTTTGATAAATGTGTAGTAATTATAGGAGACAAAAGCCTACTTGAAGAAGAAAAGCAATATCATCAAATTGCCCTTTTACCAAGTTGCAGACTATCAGACATTGCAAATACCCAAATCAAGAACAGTGTCATGAATGAGTCATGATAATGAACTCTATTAATCTTGATCTGTTAGAAATATAGATAAAAAAAATTATACTGCAATATCTTTTAACCTTAATAAAAAGGAGATCAGTATAATTATGTTTAACTTGTGAGGCTTCATATATTTTTTTCAAACCTTAGCTCTGAAAGACAATGTAATTTACCCTATATTAAAGGGTTATGTAACATTGCTTAAAAGAAAGCAAAACATATATATGTAGCCAAACTCTACCACTCTTTTCTTGTTAAATAGAAGTCCGAAGAACATAAAACAGAAGCACAGGAAGGAACGCTTACACCAATCAAATTTGTAACTCTTGGATTAATCACCACCAAAAGAATATCTATATTCATTCAATTCATTATGTACAGTAAGATCTTCTGTCGACAATTTCATTCAACTTGATGTCTGCTACCATGCTTCTATTTGCCAAACAAAACTAGGAGATGAGACGAGTGATAGGTCAAAGTTAGTCTGGTGACAGATATTTATAGTTGAAGCGGAGGTGAAAACCTAATCATATGTATAATGCTCATTAGTCATTACTATCTAGATAAAATACGTATAGTTGACTTGAATGTATTTACAAATGTACTCACCATATAACGAGGGTCATAGCTTAAGATCCATCAGTGACAGTTAGCCCCATGCCATGGAACAAGCATAATTAACCACTAGCTTACCATCGAAACCAAAATTCTAAAAACACAAAAGTGGCAAAACTAAATGACTGAGAAACATAAGCAAAATCAGTAACAGAATTCAAACAGAGTTTTTACACTTTCTTTCAGAAGTATAGAGAAACAGCATGCAAGTCGCTGGAGGGCTATCTTATATTTTTAATTTACATTAATATATCCATAAAAGTAACTGGAAATTCAGCTCAGTTATTCTTATCAGAGAAAGATGTGAGAATCACCATAAAAATCTTGCTAACTGTTTACTCAATTCCCCCATTGGTGAAATTTCTAAAATCAAATTGCCTTCGCAAACACAGTCCACATACCAGTTTATAGAAGGTGAAAATAAAAATAAAAATTGTCAACTTATCACAAACAAATATAAATTCTACTTGCAATTGGAATATATCTATTTAAGAACAAAGTTTTTTTTGCAGCTTTTGAGAAAACTCATTATATGTATTTTCCCCTTCTTGAAAATCAGACTAAAATACGACAACATATAAATCATAATGTAGATTTCAGTCATATCTAGACACAACAAACAAAATGATACACGTCTACAACTAATACCATCTTCTTGGTGGTCTTTGTTATCCTTTGCTACTTATAAACATATGCAGTCACAAAAACTCAAAAACAGAAGATGTTTAGGTTTGATTATCTGACAATTTTACATCAACATAATTGATGCAATATAAAACAAACTTATCCAAACACACAAGAAAAATGGAATTAACTAGCAACAACTTACCTTATACAGATCTATCACCAATTCAATTGGGTTGGGTGAGAAGGCACTGTTGACATACACAAACTATAGAGCAAGAAAAACAATTTTAAAAAAAAGGAAAGCCTCAGTGATTCAACAAAAATAAGGGAAAAAAAAAATAAAAGAGAGAAAATCATCTACCAATGTCTCCCTGTGAAGCTGGCGATGAAGAAAGTCAATCACTTTAGCAAACTTATCAGTTCCAGCAATCTGTAATCCTCAAAAAGTATCAAACACATACGTATCAACATTGGTTAATGGCAATCAACAACAATACAAAAAATAAGGATTTCCAAGAATTGACTAAAGCCACATAATTAGTACATAGCACCAGGAAAAGGGCAATCCATGAACAACCAAAGCATCCTCATTAATTACACAACCTTTCAATTATAAACAATAACTTACTGTGGTGGTACAATCAGATTTTAATAGAAGGAAAATATCAGAAAGTTTCCTCCGTTAACATATTTCATTGACTAAGAAGAGCTAATCATGCTCTGTCCGAAAGTTCCCTTTCAGAAGAATGTTAAAGATTCTGTTATGATAGGATATGATAATCTCATTAGATACTTCTCAAAATTTAGAAAAGCTAAGATGCTCAGGCCGAAAGTTCCCTTTCAAAAAAATGTTGAGACTTTGTTATATTGGGATCATTGTTGTCAAATCATGAGTCATTTTGCTAAAATAGGGAATCAAAAAATCGTAAGATAGTGTTTAAAATAAATTATATATTAGATACATATAAAAATATACACATAGCGTTTTAAATAAAATAAATTTCAGTATAACTAAATTGTATTTAGGTATGTACATATAAAATTACATATAAATTAATATAATTTGTTGATCTTTTTTTTTATTTTTTTTTTAGCAAAAAACGACATCGTTTCATGTATTATGCAAAGAGAATTGAATTGCAGCTAATCGCAATGAATTGCAATGAATCATAGTCAATCATAATTGAATCATACAATTCAATCAATTTAAGATTCAACAGCATGAATCAAATCGTTTCTGTTGAAAACTATATTGAATCATATAAATTGAATTTTGAATCATAAGATTCTAACAGCCATGGATGGGATGGGATGATCATATCCACCCTCCACCCAATCTCAACACAATTCTAATGATCTAGAAGCATTTGAGAATGCCTCAAAACAAGTATTGCATTTGCATACAACATGGTTACCAAATCTGATTAAGCTAATATTGCCATATGATATGAGTGATCCACAATTATGTTCCATAGGTAGGAGACACTAAATTCTCTAGAAGATCCCCACAAATTGCTACAAAGTTATATAAAGAATAATGTTTTGGGAGAGAGCTATCACATGAAGGCAGAAAAATGAAGTCCGAACAGAATTCATAACATTCGGACATTATATACAATACAAACACAGTTAAAAACTCCAATAATATTCAATGACACAAAATATACACATTTATTTTAAACATAATAACACAAAAAAAAAAAACCCAAATCCAAACTCTGGTTTGTTGTTTGAACTCCACAAAACATAGTGTGAGGATATATTTTCTGAATACCAACACGTGGCAAGGTGACGCCGACGTGTTACTAAGCGGGCAGTGTGGTCGGAAAATCACCCACACACATAGAGAACCCCATCAACCCCCTACCCACAACCTAATGAATTCCCAATCTCTCTGACTCTGTAACTCGGCGAAATCATAATACTTTATCATTGATATTAGGACATAAATTCATATTCGTATGTGAACTAGGTTTTCAAGTATAGTCTTGAGATCAGCAATTCAATGAGAGAACATTCAAATTAGATTAAAACAATCACAAATTAACAAAGGAATCAAAGAAGACATGCCTTGAACTTGGCTTGCTTGAGAATTGGGGCATCACCAGTGGCTCTTAGATGAACAACAACTACATCAAATAAAAAGGGAGGAACCCCCCCAAAAAAACACACCATTAATGAAGCTTAATCAACTAAAATTAAACTTTAATTTAAGATAATAATTAGAGAGATTTAACGAAGACTACTGACCTTTACGAGCACAACTCGGAGACTCCGAAGCCATATTTCTCAGGAAGAAGAAGGTTACGACCTTTCTATTAAATATTAGAGAAACAGCTATTTCCACCACATATTTTACTGCTTCCACGCTTTATTATTATTATTATTATTATTATCAGTGGGTTTAGTTTCAATTTTTTGAATTTAATTTTTTGAAAATTGAATTTTTTGTTTTTTGTATTTTATTATTTTTAGTGAATATTTTTGAAATTTTAAGTATTTTTTTTAGATACACCTTACTTAGATGTACTTAAAAAATAAAATATTTGTGAAAAAAATATTTTTAAAAATTAATACACACACAAAAATATGAAAAATATACTAAATTTTTATTTTTTTTGTATTTTTGGTATTTAGTGAATTTTTTAAATATTTTTTTATGAAAATTATATTTTTTAAGTGTATTTGTGTTAGGTGTGTCTAAAAATTAAAAAAATTTGATTAAAGTATTAAAAAATTCAGTAAAAATAAAAAAATATGAAAAACAAGAAAGTAGAATTTTTTGAAAAGTGTTTTCAAAAAACTGGAAACAAACATTATTCAATGTGCTTTGTTTCAGTTTTTTAAATTGAGTTTTTTTTAAATTGAGTTTTTTATTTTTCGTGTTTTTTTTGTATTTAGTGAATATTTTTAAAATTTTACGTTTTTTTTTTAGATGTATCTTACTCAGATATATCTAAAAAATAAAATATTTATGAAAAATATTTTAAAAAATTAATAAATTAAAAAATTCAGTAAAAATAAAAAAAATATGAAAAATAAGAAAGTAGAATTTTTTGAAAAGTGTTTTCAAAAAACTGGAAACAAACATTATTCAATGTGTTTTGTTTCAGTTTTTTAAATTGAGTTTTTTTTAAATTGAGTTTTTTTATTTTTCGTATTTTTTTTGTATTTAGTGAATATTTTTAAAATTTTATGTTTTTTTTAGATGTATCTTACTCAGATATATCTAAAAAATAAAATATTTATGAAAAATATTTAAAAAAATTAATAAATATACAAAAATATGAAAAATATATTGAATTTTTATTTTTTTATATTTTTGGTATTTAGTGAATTTTTTAAAGATTTTTTTACGAAAGTTATAATTTTTAAGTGTTTTTATATTAGGTGTGTCTAAAAATTAAAAAAATTGCTTAAAATATTAAAAACATTTAGTAAAAATAAAAAAATACAAAAAAAATAAGAAAGTGGAATTTTTTAAAAAGTGTTTTTAAAAAATCCAAACCAAGGAAAGTGATTAATATTTGGGTAATTACCACAAAAAAATAAAATAAAATAAAAAATCCAAAGTTTACCTTTGTAACAAATCAACTTTTAATTTTTAATTTTATCAATTTAAATTTTAAATTTGTTTTCAATTTAAACTATCTTTATTTTATTTAATAAAATTAATAGAAAAAATAATATTTTAGACACTAAATTAATAAAAAGTGTTTTTAAAAAATCCAAACCAAGCAAAATGTTTTTTTTTCCCATCGCTTTTATTCATGGAAATAAATTGATAATTTAAATTAAAAACAAATTAAAAAAATTAGAGTTTAAATTGAAAAAAATTAAAAACTCATGATTTGTTTAGTTATAAAGGTCAAATATTATGGATTTTTTTTTCTTCTTCTTTGTTTTTGAGTAAAATTCACTACATCTTTCTTTTTGGGATTAATTATATTAGGATCTCCACAATTATTTGTGAATATTAACTTATCTTTTTCATTTATAAATTCGTACATTTTGATCCTTTTAGTTCTACTATAAAAATGCATCACTTTTATCCCTCTAGATCACCTTTAAAAGGGAAATAGTTGTTCGATTTTTATAGTTGACGGGATCAATATAAACAGGTTCATAAATGAACGGGTAAAGTCATATTTATTAATAGTTAAGAAGTAATAGTATAATTAACCGTCGTTCTTGGTCTCAAAAACACATTTTGTTACTGTAGACACTCCATTTTTGACCGACTTTAAGACTCAAACGTCACCAGTTGAGCGCTCGGTGATGTTGCATTTTGTGCTAGTTCTGAGGTTTCAGAGTCTCGGCTGAGAGCCTCACCTCCGAACTTCGGGGCTCTTTTTGTGCCTTGCCTTGGTTTGCGAACCGGATCCTGTTTTCTCCGTTTTCTCTTCCCGAAGGGAGGGAGAGGTCTCGTAGACCATCTCTCAGTGGCCGTAGGCTACGTTTCATGGTCGTAGGCTGTTTTTCCCGTTTGGAGCCCGATTTCCGATTTTCGGAGCCGTCGGCCGTGTGCCTCGGTTCGGGACTACTTAGCTACCTCCGACTGCTCCGGTTTTTGGCACACACCTTATTTCCTTCCTTTAGAGGGACACTGTGGCCCGAGTGTCACGACCCAAACCCGGTCCTATAGGTTTAGCACCGTAACCGGCCAGTAATCCGAGATTACCAAAGGCCCGCTTAACAGTAGTACAGTAAAACAAATTACAGGGCCTGGCGGAAGCCAAAACAGTAAAGAAACAATGCCCAATGAGCTGTGACAGTCTGCATGCAAAAAGACTTTACAAACATATTTACATTCAGTGGAAAGGTATACACAATATATACAATCATTCAGAATAGGGACTCAATCCCTATACAACGGTACAGTAAACATTCAGTCTATACAATCCATTCAGTTATTACAAAATGGTAAGACAGTACAGAAGGGGGAGTCCTAAAACACCCCTAAGCCTTAGCATGATAGGTTTGGAACCTCGCGGTGAGGCACGGTAGTTGGCTTGACAAAACTGGAGTAACCCTGACGCTCCTAGCCGCGGTCTGGTGCCTGAACACCTACATATATATATGAGCAGTGAGCTAAAGCCCAGTGAATAACATAATGCGTAAAGAGGTTAAGAATGAATGTCCTTACAGTATGAAAACAGTTCATTTAAACAGTATTTCAGTTGTTCAGTCAGTACAGTCATATGTGGTACACCCATTGCATATCAGTACAGTAAACAGTAGGTCTTAAAAGACCGAACAGTAGTGATGGCCATCAGTCAGTAAACAGTAGTGGTTCCAACAAGGGAACCGACAGAAAATTCTGTCACAGTAACAGTAAACAGTAGGTGCTAAGGATGTCACAATACAGTTCAGAATGTAGGACATATATTCATTTAGTTAACAGTAATCAGTTCAGAAAACAGTACGGTTCAGTTGTTCAGAAGATAATCATTTGTGAACATATCTTTACACAATCGCTACTTACAGAGTTTGGGCTACAATATGCTAGAGCGTGTCTCCCCAGTCGCCAGCCCTACACAGTTTACAGATTGAACACACACTAAGCTACACAGTCGGAAGAGATAATAATTTAATCCCTAATTTGCCTCGGTGTGTTCTACATCTATGTCCTCATTAAGATGCTTTAAACTAGGCCTAAGAATGCCTAGGATGAGATGAGGATGCAAAGATGTGATCAGAAAACAGTTTCAGGAGTTTTCAGAAAAACAGAGTCCCGCTCAAGCTCAGGTTTCCTCGCTCGAGCGGTCATGCAACAAAGGTACACGCTCGAGCGTCAAATATCCCGCTCGAGCGTACTGTAAAAGTACTGGATGGGTGAAATCTTTGCTCGACGGACGCTCGATGCCCGCTCGAGCTTGAGACACATGACTCTACTCGAGCACCCAATCCTCCGCTCGAGCGGACTGTAAAACAGTGCAGAGATACTGGATGATCGGATTCCCCGCTCGAGCATCACTAGCCCCCGCTCGAGCGGAAGTGCAGAATCTGGAAAACCCAGATTGCACCTCCAAGCTCAAACCAAGTTTCAACAACTCAAAACTCGACCTCTTGGGCTGAATTTCCAGAAAACATTTGTAAACACATAGAATAACATGGTTCAAAGCTCAATTTTGAGAAATCAAAGCCCAAGGGTGTTTAATTCAAATCCAATTTCAAACCATTTTTCAAGAACAATCCTCAAACATGACATGCATGATCTTTAAATAACTTTCAAGCTTCAAAACATGCTCTAATGAGCCAATTGATTCACAAACAGGATGAAAACATGGCCTACACTCAAAACATGGACATGCATGTGACAATTTGCCATGAACTCAACTCAAAATCCAACCATACTAACATGCATGCATGAATTATGCTCTATTTTCAACATATAAAGCTATTTCATGACTCAATCCACTAAATTTGACATAAATCATGTAGGAACAAGCTCAATTCATAAACAAGAGGGCAATTACTCTACCTTAGGTCTTGAATTAGAAGACTAGGAGCTCAATTTAGCAATCTACACTTCAAATCTCCAAGTTGTCTAAGCCAATCCCTCAAAGACAAATCAATTCTCTCCCTCTCACCCTCTAAGTCGGCAAAGCAATGCAAGAGCTGGTGAAATGTTTTGATTTAAGTGTATACAAGGCTCAACATGTGTGAAGTAGTGGCCACTAAGTGGTCTAATGGTAATTAAGTCCAATTCATGTAATTTGGTACCATTTAATCTAATTTAATCATACTAAATCAAATTTCAAATAAATATACCATAAATTCACATTAATTCCACGGGTCATAGAACATCAATCAATTCCGGATTCGGCCGCCGATAGGGCCTTCAATTAACATGTTAACATAAAACATGAACAGATCAAATAAACAATCAAACAGATAGAATACAGATTAACATACATACTCAGTCAATTCAGTTCTAGTTTTCAGTCAGTCAGTTCAGTACTTTAATCAGTTCAATTATCAGTCATGATCAGTTCAGTTTAACGGTAATCAATGTTTATCGGTAAGCAGTGGTGAGGGTTATTACAGTCTTCCCTCCTTATAAAGAGTTTAGTCCTCTAAACTCGGGTTACCTTCATTCTGGAAGAAAACAGGATTCAGTGGAAATAGTTCAGGATATCTTTTGGCCATGTCATCTTCCCTTTCCCAGGTCGCATACACGCCACCGTGGTTCTTCCAGTTGACTTTTACCAACGGGATTTCTTTGTTTTTCAGTTTCTTGATTCGTCTGTTTACAATCTGTGTAGGCTGTTCCTCATAAGTGTAGTCATCACTCAGCACTACACGGGTAGGCTCTATTACATGGAAAGGATCCCGGAGGTAGTCTCTCAACATAGAAATGTGGAAGACGTTATGCATATGATCCATTTCAGGAGGGAGTGCAACTTGATACGCCACCGGATTGATTTTCTCAATAATCTCATATGGTCCGACGTATCTCGGTGCTAATTTGCCTTTGACTCCAAAACGAGTCTGGCCTTTCATCGGTGTCACTTTCACAAATACATGATCACCCACTTCATACTCTCTGTCTCGTCTTATGACATCAGCATAACTCTTCTGTCTACTCTGTGCAGTTTTCAATCTCTGTTGTATTAGTTTCACTTTCTCGGTTGTTTCATAAACAATCTCGGGCCCAAGCAAAGGCCCATCTCCAATTTCTGCCTAGCAAATCGGAGATCTACATTTTCTGCCATACAATGCCTCGAAAGGCGCCATGCCAATACTTGAGTGATGGCTGTTGTTGTAAGTAAATTCAGCTAAGGGCAAATGACTTTCCCAATTTCCCTGAAAATCAAGGACACACATTCTCAGTAAATCCTCCAGAGTCTGGATGGTCCTTTCTGACTGGCCATCTGTCTGAGGATGATAGGCACTACTCAGTCTCAGTTCAGTACCCAGTGCAGTCTGTAGGCTTTGCCAAAATCTCGATGTAAACTAAGAATCCCTGTCAGAAACAATGGACACAGGTACTCCATGCAGTCTAACAATTTCGTCAATATAAAGTATAGCCAATTTGTCCGCATTATAAATTGTCTTAACAGGCAAGAAGTGAGCAGATTTAGTTAGTCTATCAACAATAACCCAAATCGAGTCCATACCTTTACTGGAGCGAGGCAATCCCACTATAAAATCCATGGTGATATGCTCTCATTTCCACTCCGGTATCGGTAAGGGCTGTAATAAGCCTACGGGTCGTTGATGTTCGGCTTTAACTTGTTGGCAATGAAGACATTTCGATACAAAATCAACAATTTCTTTCTTCATTCCCGGCCACCAGAAATTCAGTTTCAGGTCTTGGTACATTTTCGTATTCCCCGGATGGATAGAAAATCTTGAGTTGTGGCCCTCTTGCAGAACTCTTCTTTTCAGTTCAGTATCATTTGGTACACACAGTCTTTCTTGAAATTTCAGTACACTATTCTCAAATTTAAATCCCGGTCTCGGTTTAGATTCTCTTTCCTCGATGATCTTTTTCAAGAAGTCATCCAGTTGCTGTTTCTCTTTAATCTCTTCAATCAGTGCCGGTTGAGCAGAAATAGTAGCTAAGGTTCCACATTGTTCTCGCAAAACAATTTCAATTTCAGATTTTTCAAGGTCACAAAGGAACTCTTTCTTTCCGGTAAGCAAACATGCTAAGTTTCCAATCGATTTCCGGCTCAGTGCATCGGCAACAGTGTTGGCTTTTCCTGGATGGTACAAGATCTGTAGGTCATAGTCCTTTATCAGTTCTAGCCATCTCCGCTGTCTCATGTTCAGTTCTTTCTGTGTGAAGAAATACTTCAAACTCTTGTGGTCGGTGTATACTTCACATGTCACCCCATACAGATAGTGACGCCAGATTTTCAGTGCAAATACTACTGCAGCAAGTTCCAGATCATGGGTCGGGTAGTTCTTTTCATGCGGTCTCAGTTGTCGGGAAGCATAGGCAATTACTCTCCCATTCTGCATTAAAACACATCCCAAACCCTTATGAGAAGCATCACTAAATACAGTATAACCATCCGGTGCGGTCACTAATCGAGTTTTCAACTCCTGGAAGGCAGATTCCCTTTGATCAGTCCAGTCAAATGATAACCCCTTCTGAGTCAGTTGAGTCAACGGTAAAGCAATTTTGGAGAAATTTCTGACAAATCTTCTGTAATATCCAGCCAAACCCAAAAAGCTTCGGACTTCTGTCACGTTTGTTGGTCTAGGCCAGTTCACTACAACTTCAAGCAGGAATTAACTTGTATCTATGCGCAGTAAATGTCGGATGTGTGTGTTTGTTTATATATATCTTATACCACAATCTCTACGTAGGTGTTAGGTGTTGGAACCTGTCTGGCATAGATATATGTATCTTATATCAACTTCATAAGAGAATTCTTCTTAGTCACATTGCAATGATGTGGTATTTTTATCAATTATTGCTCGAGGTCTAAAAATAACGATCACAAGTTTATCATTAAATCCTCGATGTCTTATTTGAGAAGAGTATTACTTTGCACGCTCTTAGGCTCTGTTAACAGGAGGGAGGGAAAAAAGTGAATCGGAATGAAGCTTTGTGGCTGTGTTGAATACAAAGAAATTCAATTTTTTTTTTTAAACCAAACTTGATCTGAGCCGTAGGATCCAGTCCTGCTGACGTGGCCAAATCCTGGCCCTTGACAGGAGGAATGGCCGGAGGCTTTGGCAGGAGAGGATCCGGACTCGTTAAAAACAACTACTAACCCACTTCCCAAAAAACCCTAGTTTCATAGGTGAGGGTCTAAAGATTAAGATTAGAATAGTCTAGGGGTAAAACGATAAATGTGATAGTTTGAGGGGGCAAAACGAAAATTTTTCTCATTTCAAAAATAAAACCCTAGCTTCATTTCAGAGCTCGAAAAACCCTCATCAATGGCGTTTATTCAATCTCTCTCTACATCTACTCCCTTCCATCTCTCTCACCGCCAGTCTGTCTCCTCCAAAAACCTCACAATATTTCCCAAAATACGCCTCAGAATTCTTGGAAATTCTTGTCCAGTCCTCGCATGTTCGGCTCCGAAGTCGACTCCGGCGACCGAGCAGGACATACTCGAAGCCGTCGCGGAGTCCGACGGAAAGTCGCTTCCCGGCGTGAGAACTTACGAGAACGACTTGGCTCGGCTTACGCTGGTTGGAGCCGTGGATTTTGAGCAGGCGCTAACGGCGGCCGCCGCAGACGGCGGTGAGACCGCCGCCGAACATATTGCTTCCGGCATGCCGGCGATGGTTGTGGAGACCGTGTTTCCTGGCCCTCCCGACGAGCGTAGCACCGTCTCGACACGACTGGTCTGTTCATTTTCTTGCTTTTCTGATTCTTTAAGCTTACTTAGATTTTATAAAAATTTATGTATATATATGCATTCACATTCATTTCAATCCATATGAGTTCAAATTTGAGTAAAAATTTATTTGATACAAATCACTCCAATGGATTAGATTTTAATATAAATTTGAAGCCGTGGTACACTTGATGCATGCACATATGATCATTTTGTTTCCGCAAATAAGATTGTAAATTTTGTGATTGAATTCAAAAGTTGAAAATTTAAATGAATTTGAAAAGATCAAAAGTCTAGAGATTTGGAAAAAAATAAATTGAATTTAGGGCATAACTTATTTTGGGAAAACTCAAAATATGAGACATAAACACTAACTCAAGCCTTCCCTTTATAATATTATTATATAAAGAATAAGATAGATTTAAGAGCTTTAATAATGACAGAGTGGTAAATTCGAGAGCTTCAAAATGGTCTAAAAAATTTTGAATTAACATTTGAGTCTATGTTGATTTAGGTAAAAGAATTAGTTAAAACTCAATTTTATAGAAGTTTGTGTCAGGGAGTGTTGAGGTTTTTAAGTGATTTATACCCAAATTTCAATCTCAAATAGGTTTGAATTACGGGTTGGAGATGCCCTAATATTATGCTGACTTTGATGGTAAAAGCTTTTTTGCAATTATGCTTTGTTTTGTTGTTGAGGAAGTGAGTGCAAAGTATAAATTTATTTATACTTTTATTGTATGAACTGGGCCTTCTACCATATGGGTTGGTGCATGAAAAACTTACTCAAGTAGCTGCCTTGTTTTGATCATAACAACTGTAAATGTTTTCAGATAATTGGCCGAGATAGGTGATACTATGATAGAATCACAGTCATATTGTTTGAAGTGTTGAACGGAGTGGGGATTTACATAGTAACTACTAGGGGGCGAACAAAAAATTTATCACCATCTGTTATCGGATGTAATTGGTTTATGTTGAAACTAGTTCCTTCATTCAAAGTTGAAGCAGTGACTGTCAAAAACTATGCCGCTAAGTAAGTAAGCAGGAATTAACTTGTATCTATGCGCAGTAAATGTCGGATGTGTGTGTTTGTTTATATATATCTTATACCACAATCTCTACGTAGGTGTTAGGTGTTGGAACCTGTCTGGCATAGATATATGTATCTTATATCAACTTCATAAGAGAATTCTTCTTAGTCACATTGCAATGATGTGGTATTTTTATCAATTATTGCTCGAGGTCTAAAAATAACGATCACAAGTTTATCATTAAATCCTCGATGTCTTATTTGAGAAGAGTATTACTTTGCACGCTCTTAGGCTCTGTTAACAGGTGGGTCAGTTTTCGGGGGCTTTTTTTATTTAATACAAAACATATGACGCATGTTGTAAGTAGCTATTTTTGTTTATATCATCTGCTTGATCATGTGATATAAGGACATGTTTCTTGCAACTATTTTCTAAAGGTTCTTGTTTTTATAGTTTTTGCCAGCTAGAAAAGTTAAAGAGAAAGCCAAAAAGCTCAAAAGTTATCTCACTGAAGATATCCTCTCCAACACTACATCTAGGAATATACTTGCCATGACATTTAGACAAGTGGTTATGGAACAGCTTTGGAATTTTGAACTGGTATTGTTTAGACCTGGAACTGAAAGAAATATGAAGGAGCTTCAAAATCCTAGAGAGGTGTTGGGTGATACTGATAGGTTGAGTTTTCTTGTTCCTTTCCTATCAGCAGGTCACTGCATCATTTGCCCTTAGCTCATCAGATGAACTGGTTATTTCTTTGCTTGGAGAAGTTGTTTGCCTTGCTGCTCTTGAAAGCACTGAAAGACATTTTCTTCGTAACTCTCTGGGAAGAACATCAAATAACTTTTTCCACTGGTTTCACAAGCCTGAAAGGATTGCATCAACAGATTCATCAGTTACCATATATAAGTTATTTGACGATGAGATTATTGCAAGTGCTAAAAGTTTGCTTGAAACTTTTAACTCGGAAAAGGGCAATTACAAGCCTTTGCAATCAAATGTGAATTACTCATGGTGGACATTACCAATATATTCTAAATTAGAAAAGATTGGTGGTCCTGAGTTTATTACATGGATTAACGAGTATGTACCTGCTTATCTGCTTCAAATTGACACTGATCGACTTCACAATGTAAAGTTTGAAGGTTGGAAAAAATCTGCTGAGAATAGATGGGAAGTCCTTCTGACCCACTTTCAAATGGTACTTGATTCTTTCCTTCATTTTTGGACCTCAATGAGTGTTGGCTTTCTAGGATGTCAAGTAGGGGCAAATGTGCATGCTGTTGTTGTTATACGCTTCCTTATCTGACATTCTCTTTCTAGCTTTGTTTTCCATCATTCTTGTTGGTTTGGTCATATTTACTTGCATTTTTTTTTTCTTTTTTTTTTGTCCATTCATCAAATCATGTGTAGAATCTGATATATTTTGTTTATTGTGTGTTGTAACTTGTAAGGTACATTTAATTCTTAAACTGACCTGAGAAAACCAAAATAATAAGCCAAAGGAGAAAAAAAACCCCTTATAAATGGGAATTGAAGTTTGCAATAAGTTATTTTCATGTACTTGACCAAATAAGTGCCAATCACTCTGAGATATATTAAAAATTTTATGATATCAATTAATATAGTTTTGGAATATGATTCTTCATTCCCAAGGTTTTGAAAAGCGGTTGTGGTTGCGGTTGCCGTAACGGTTGTGGTGACGCGGTAGTGGTTGCGGGGTATAAAGGCCGTAACGTAACGGTTGCAGTAACCGGAACCGTGATTCTTTATTTTTCGCACAATGTGAAGAAAACTTATCAATACGCATATTTTTTTTTTTTTTTTTTCAGAATCATATTTATTGGAGTTTAAAATAAATTTTGATCAATTTTTGTTAATTTTTAAGTATGATCCAATATATTTCATATTTTCAAATCACTGTAAAATGAGCTTTTTACATTTATTTCAATAGTTAATGATTTTAAGAATAATTGATTTTAAATGTCTACAAATTATTTTTTACCAACACTTGAACTAACTGAATAAAAAAAATTCACAATTATTAAATGAAAGGATTATAAAATAAAAATTGCGTCATAAATTTTTTTTTTTAATTATAAAAGAAAAAAAATTCATATAAATTTTTTTCTTTGGGCTTGGATCACTTGAGTATTTTTTTTTTGTAAGCTTTTGTTTTTTTCTTGGAAAAAGAAAGCTATTCAAAATATTGTAAAAGAGTGTAACGGTGTCTAACGGACCATTACGGCCGTTACATAACACCAAAACGGCCATATTTTCACCGCTATAGCAGCCGTAACGGGTAGCGGTAACCACCACAACCATTACGTAACGGCATTACGCAACGGTTGCGGCCGCTTTTTAAAACCTTGCCGGTATTCTTTGATAATTTAAATGGTTAAATAATAATATGTATTTTATAAAGTCTTACGCAAAAGTGTCAAATTATACAGAGACACGTCATTAATATAAAATGTTGTAACCACAGGATCATTAATTGCTACCATTAAAAGTTCCTTAGTACTTCCATTCAAGTTTTCTTGGTCGTCAACTTTGAAACAACTTAATTATATTTTATTATATTAGCCTCAGACTACAATTTTGCTGAGTATGCAGATTTCCTGGAAAAATCTTGATATGTGGAGATGCACCTCACTACCTCCCTGATTACGATGGAAATAAATGGAAAATATAATAATACAGACAGCATTACTTAAATTTCTATTTTAAAACTCACTGGGAGTAGTGTGGAGGCTTTCACACAAAGGATTCCTCCAACTAGAGGTTGAGGATCAACAGGATATGAAATGGTCCCAAAATTCTTGGTTGTGTTAATAGAAATTACTAAATCTTCAGCAGAACCATAGCTCATCAATGACCAACCATCATTATTGAATCCACTGACCGCATCATTGAAGCCCCTAAAAGCAATCAACAAACAGATAAAGAGAAAAAGGACAAGATGAGAAAGTTGAAGATAGAATGACTAATGTAAAGATAGATGCATTTATGCAAAAGCATGATGTTCATGTTTGTATATGTAAATATGAATAAACAGCAAGACAAAGATGCATGGAGACCAGAAGATTTTGTAGATATTACCTGCTCAATCTTTGGCTGAAGGTTCGTAAGGGAGGTTCCTTGCCATGTCCTACCTCACAACTTCTTTCTCGAGCTATTCTCCTAATGTAATGCAGTGCCTGCATTAAAAAAAGTCTTAATTAGTTCCTCCAAAATTTGAAATGATGTTTTAACTTTGAAAAGGAAAAAGCGAAGGCTATTACAGTTAAGATTGCTTGTTCAACAGCAAAGTTCAGACCATAAAACATGACAACTACAGTGAATAGGCCGACACATTCATGCTTAGAATGGAGTGAATAGGCCAGACTCTTGAAATATTACCAATTTAAAAGTTATCAACATTAGTAACTCATCAATATATGTTGTCCTAGCATGCAACTTCTAGAGTCCAGCACAAAGTTAGACAGTAGAATATTTTCTGATAAGAGTAGAGACTTCTAGTCAGCATTTAGTCAAGCGTCCTCCTATATTTTGTGACAATCTGGGAAGAGAGTATTTTCAAAAAGTAGGCAAACAAGTAGGGTCATGGCATCAATGGTACTTAGCATTGGTAACAATGTATTTTTTTTATTTTTTTAAGAGATAGAGAGGATCAAGTCATTAACATGATTATATCATACATCTTATAAATATACAGCAGGACTGTGCAAGAATTGCATTGCTTATGCAAAAAGCAAGATGTGATTAAGTCTTATGAACATTCGTCACTTACAGCAACTGTCATCTTCTGTGCGACAAGTTTGGATGATTCATAAAGAGGCCGAAGCTCCTCAGGAGCAGTCAATGCCTACAAGGATAAATGCAAATTAGCTGTGGCTAAGAAAAAAGATCAAGAATTGAAATGCGATGAATCAAACCTCAAGATCCAGATGATCAACAATGTGAATGGTTGACCCTCCCCCCTCAAAAGGCCGAACAAAATAGCCACTGGCCAGCATCTTGGCTCTTGTTAATTGTGAAGCAACAAATGGGTTTGGACCAGTACCATAATCAGAGATTGATTTCTCACATACCTTTATATATTCATAGGAAATATAGTTATGAGGATATTAGTAGGTCTCACTATAGTTTAATTTAATCCTTGTAAATTTCCGAACAAATTATCTAAAGAGGATCATTTAACAGGAAAAATTGAGCATTTTTTATCACAACCTTTTTTGTAGCAGAAGCATTTACCGGTTCTCTAGAGAAATATTTAGGTCTGGAAAAACAATTAGAGGGTTTCAATTGATCATTTCCAAAGAATTAGATGGTCTTCCTACACGGGCCTTTTATTTGGTAGGTAACATCAAAGACATTTAGAAGTGTGCCACTAACTTGGCCATTAAGATAAAAGCAAATCAACTAGGATAAAATTTGAATAAAAAAAAAACAAGGAAATCAGAAGTAGTTCTTCATATAACCAAAATATGAAAAAACAAAAGAAAAGAAAGCCTAGCAGTGGCTTTCACATTATTGTAAAATGGCTTATTAACACAAAATAAGATAATCTTATAAAATAAAATAAAAAATTATAAATATGATAATAATTCCAAATGACTTGTCCTGACTATAAGTTATTTTGCTACAAAAGAAAACTCAATAATCATATACACTACTTGAAGGCTGAAAGAAATTAATTAGACCTGGAGGGGGTGAAAAAACAAAAACTTGATGGTCCACTGATCCCAGTGGGCTTAGAAGGGGGCACCATTGAGTTGAAATCTTAACAAAAATTGTAATCAACTTAATCTAATTGTTAAATTTTTATTTGATTGTAGGACTAAAAATTAGCTCTCAGTGTCTCATAAACCTCCTTCACTAGCTTCTGCCCATTAGCAACATCATGTGATGGATGATCATCATTTGCAGGCAGTCCCTTTATGTCAAAGTATCTCGGCTCGATCACCGACAAGTTAGTTTCAGTGAGGTTCTGAGACATGGAAAGAGCTTGTTCTACAAAGCCAGTCATTGAAGGGATGGGACCAGACCCAAATAATTTAAAATAAATTTTGATCAATTTTTGTTAATTTTTAAGTATGATCCAATATATTTCATATTTTCAAATCACTATAAAATGAGCTTTTTACATTTATTTCAATAGTTAATGATTTTAAGAATAATTGATTTTAAATGTCTACAAATTATTTTTTACCAACACTTGAACTAACTGAATAAAAAAAATTCACAATTATTAAATGAAAGGATTATAAAATAAAAATTGCGTCATAAATTTTTTTTTTTAATTATAAAAGAAAAAAAATTCATATAAATTTTTTTCTTTGGGCTTGGATCACTTGAGTATTTTTTTTTTTTGTAAGCTTTTGTTTTTTTCTTGGAAAAAGAAAGCTATTCAAAATATTGTAAAAGAGTGTAACGGTGTCTAACGAACCATTACGGCCGTTACATAACACCAAAACGGCCATATTTTCACCGCTATAGCAGCCGTAACGGGTAGCGGTAACCACCACAACCATTACATAACGGCATTACGCAACGGTTGCGGCCGCTTTTTAAAACCTTGCCGGTATTCTTTGATAATTTAAATGGTTAAATAATAATATGTATTTTATAAAGTCTTACGCAAAAGTGTCAAATTATACAGAGACACGTCATTAATATATGTTAATGTAAATTGTAAAAGTAAATACTATCACCCACTCCACCTACCACCTCCACTACCACCCACTCCACCTACCACCTCCACTGCCACCTTCACCTACTCCCAAATCCTCTCCTATATAACTCCTTGTAATATACACAACACACACATCAATCAATACACAAAAATCAATCAATAATAATACATCAATTTATTTTACATGGTATCAGAGCAAGGTTAACAACCTAGTCATTCTGCTTCACCGGCAGGCGGTAGTCTCGCCTTGGCCGCCCGCCGGACCTCTACACATACCTTCCATCCACTGCCAAGTCCGGCTTCGCCACTTGCGCCATCGATCACCAAGGCCCACGGCTCTCTCCCTCAACCAAATCTCTCTCTCTTCATACACAGACAACCTATCTGCAATACCTCAGAGCGATGGAGACTCAAACTCCAACCCTATTCCGAACCCAATCAAAGCCGAGAGGCCACTTCTCAAGAAATCAAGGACTATTGCGGACGATAGTCGGACCCCTCACTTCCCGGGTCCTCTCTTCCCAACCGTCCGTCGCATCTCCACCTCAACGCCGTCGTCTCACCGCTCATTCGATCTGGACACCACCTCCCCCAACACCGACCCCTTCGGGACTCAGGGCGACCGCGACTGGATGTTCCCTTCCTTTCTCGGCCCACACATTTCTCGCAGGCGCGTCATCGTCCAGTCCTCCAAGTCTCAGAAGCAAGAGCTCTCGCCTCGCTCTCCGGCTCCGCCACCCACTCGGAGCGCTTCCATGCCGGCGAACTGTGGCCACTCAATCAAACGGTCCACAAACTGTTCCAGAGCTTTGGTCCCAAACACAAACATTTTGGAATCTGCAGGTTTACGCAGTGACTCCAGAACACCTCGGAGGGCAATACCAAGGGTGAAATGAGTTACAAGCTGATGCTTGATGAGAGAACCAAAGAGCCCTGTGCTTCTTTTTCTTTTATTATTTAACAAAACCACTTAGTTGGTGAGCCCCTTACACACCCTTGTTCTCCACCTCCCTCTTTTTCTAAATTATTCCCTGACAGTGCTTGTTCTCCACCTCCCTCCTTCTTTTTTTCTAACCAATATTTTTTATCACCGCCCAATCCATGATTTCAATTTTTTTATTATTATTATTATTCCTCCGAGTTCCTACATTCTCATCCATTTTCTTTTATCTATATATATATATATATACTTTCCAACCCCCATCTACTTTCCTATTTCTTTTCTTTTTTTTTTTTTTTTTTATATATTTACTTTATTCCATCTTTTGACAAGCCCAAGTCACACAAAGCAAACCCATCATTTTCCTTTTCCATTCGTGGTCGGACCCGCCCCACCACATTTGAATCTCCCCTTTTTTTTTTATTTTTATTTTTTTTAAGTTAAAAAAAAAAAAAACCGAAGCAGAAGCACTGCACACCAAACTCTTTTTATTCATGTCGGGGCTCACCCCGCTCACCATTTTACACCAAAAAAAAAAAAAAAAAAAAAAA